TTTTCTTCCTTTCTGCACATTCTTCGACCTGGTATTGTGTTGACAGTGTTTCTTCTGGCTGATGGCTCGTCCAGGAACCACTGGCGCCAGAAAGGTTCAGCACCACAGAGCTGGAGCACCGGCCCCTTGTAGCGCGACCATCGTAAGCCGCAGGAGCAAAGTGACTTAAGAACGATATCACGTCGAACGGGACACTGCCCCCCCCTCCCCACTTAGTTATATTAAAGCACCTCATGGAATGCGGTGCCTTTATTTCGTTTATGATTTTCATTTCACTAACACTAGCCGGAAGCAGCAACGTTAGACAGGCCTCCAACGTTCCCGAAGCTATGACAGAGTCTGCGCTTCGGCAGAAGACAACTGGAGGCTGGAACAAAGTCTGTCGAGACACTTGCCGCAGGTCATTCTTGGTGTTTCGCCCTCCTTTCTGGAAGCGTTTGCAAGACGTTCCCAAAAGAGTCGCAGCCGTGACTTCTCTGTCTGAAGAAACAACGGTTGCACACCAAGACTTTCTCGAATATCCGAACTGCAGGGTAAGACCAGAAAGACCACTTTCCACAGCTCCAGATAGGTGACAGAAAAATGCACAGACATTGCGATTGATTAACATGATCATTTTACTGGAAGGGTCCTCGACGATCAGTCGTAACTCCGATTTATGCATAACTGAGGAAAGTTACATCTCGCATTTTCACAACAAAATTTATTTATGATTTTATTGCAATGATAATTAAAATTTCAGTAATCAAACATTTCTGATCTGCTCAAGTCTTCTCAAAACATTCGTATCAAAGGATTCTCTGGAATTACATTGCACTCATCTCATTTGTACCGAATTTAGCCGTATGAAATATCTGCAGCCAAAACAACCAGGTAATTCCCTTCCGTAATATACTTCAAAATTAAAAGTTTTTTCCTGAATGAACACCCCACAGATTGAGGCTCATTCTTGGAGTGAAAGTACAAACATCCAACTTAGAATGTCAATGCAGGTCGACGGCTCATCGGTTTATCATTCCAGCGCATGTTATACGCAGTGTCTTTCAACAAGTCCGTGAATACCATGTGCTATGGGTCCTTCGAAATGATGTCCATTAAATTCTGATGTGGCACGACGCCGTGGTAGACTTCAGCAATTGCCTGCTTGGGATTCGTGTATGATGGAACCGGGCAGACAGTCGATATAGAATCTAAGGAAAAATGACTCTAAGCAGAAACCCAAAATTGTTGTTGTTGACAAGTATTACGTTTACTCAAAAAGTTATTAAAAAGTTATTGTTTGACAAAATTACTGTTTAAAGAAACGTAGTGGGAATAAAAACTCAATGCTCATGACCGAAACGTTTCCTATCGGTGCAAACAGTGTGACTGGTTTATCACTGACCACAGGAACAAATACGATGGACATGGAATCAAACCATCAACTGGGCGTACAGTTGAACGACGGACTATAACTAACTACTTTTGCTTGTTTGAAAGTGCCAGCAAAACCACCTAAGTATCAGTGCAGAAAAACGCCTTTGATTCCGGATGGAAACAGCTGAAATGGCTATCCTGAGACCTATTCGAGAGTGCTTTGATGTGCAGCCGTTGTTTCTTCGGACTGAGAAGTCACAGCTGTGGTAGTTTCTGCACTTCTTGCAAATGTCCCCCAGAAAGGAAGACGAAACAGCTAGTATTCGCTCGACCGACTGACTGAAACGACGGGAATGGCCAGGGTGAAGTGTCTCAACGGACTCTGCTCCAAACTCGGTCTTTCTTCTACCGAAAAGCTCAGATGCTAGAGACATTACCTGGCGCATGACCGAAAGGATAAGCGGCTATCGAAACCGAATCACAGCGAAACCTAACAGGGAGCGGGAGGGAGGAGGGGGGGGGCTTTTCGGGTGGCGAATTGGTCCGCCTTCATCCATGCAGACCAGACCCTGAAGGGTCGAGCGTGGCGCTCCACCATGAAAACCGAGGGCAATCGGTCGTTTCCCTTCGGTGATGCAGCAACTCCGTGCGGTTTGGTTCGTCCCCCTCCCCCGTTCGCAGGCGATCGCGCCAAAATTTATTGCCGTCACCGGTGGAGTGACACGGCGCATCGTGTGTGGCTCGTCGCCTGCCTGTCGGTGAAGTTCAACAATCGGTGTTTACCGAACTCACCGCATCTCTGACGAGTTCTCTGTCGCCGTCGTGCGCAGTGAGCCCCCGGCCGTCGTTTTTTTCGTTGATACGCTTGTGACGTAACCCGAGACACCCTCTGATACTTACGGGATGTGATGATTCCAGCTGAGTACTAGTTTTCCTCGATTTCATTCGCAAGAGAAGCTGTCGTTGGTCGTCAAAGACAGGAGTATGACGCTGTCACTCAGACTGAGGTTACCCAGCAACTACAAATGGTATACAATCAAACGTTAGTTCTCAATCCGGACCTCGTCTATCATAACTCTCTAAAGCAATTACCTCTGACTGCATGGCTAAATTTAAAGCAACATTTAACGTATATTAGAAAACTGTAATACTCGGTCATAAGGAAATAGTCAATGAAGAATAAGATGAAGAAAAAGTATAGCTACAACAGGAAGTTCATTCCTTTTAGCGACTCAGTTACACTGTTACCATATTCCCATTAGCCTGCTGAACGAAGCATGTCATTTTTCGCTGTCATTACAGAATTCAGCAGTAATTGCAGTAATAATATGAGTATGATTATTTGGAAACATTATTGATGCTGAAGTCAACGGAGATCGATGCGTTGTATGCATCAAATTTAATAAAAAAATATAACACGGAATTTGTTCAACATCTTTGTCAGTTGAAATATCGTTACAAGTTATTCAATTTGGACTGAATCCCGTCTACCATTCCAACTTGTTCATCGTAGTTTTCCAGAATTTCATAATAACCACTTGACATGATAACCATCCTCTGTTCCAAAGAATGAGGACACCGGATTTTTAGGTCTTGACTATCTAACCAGCTGGTGTTACTTTCTCTTCGTTTTTTGAGCAATCTACAAAGAGTTGTTTCGATGTCCAATTCCTCGCGCATGTGAATCGCCATCCTCCTTTAAAGGATCGACGATACGATGAAAGGATTTGCACCATGCACGATTCGACAGTCGACTTGAACGGTGCTCCAAGTTTTTCCCGCTAAAGCACTTGCCCTTGCTTTGGCCCTAGTAGACAAAATGATCTGCATAAACAATTTACTATAGCCCATGAGTTTCGTGTGAGGGAGCCGAAACACGACGGACTTCGACCAGGAGGTCAGCATCAAACTTGGCAGAAGAAGATAAACAAACACATTTTTCGCCTCGAGTGATTTGCTTTAAAGGGCATGCAGAAGTCGGGCAACCCCAGCTGTCACTGCTCTCCTCTTAGCCGGAAATTTCACAATTCGTCAAGGTCGTTAAGGGGACGGTAATTACTAATTTGATCATAATTCAATCAATCATGCGGTTTCGTTCTTCAATAGTTGGTCGGTGGGGCAATACAATGGATTAACAGAGAGCCTTCTTATGTGAGGCTTCTTTATGCAATCTCTACCGTCATGCTCTTTGTTTCTTCACTACTTTTCCTCATTATTTGCTGTACAGCTTTGATGATTTTCTCTTTCTGAAGGCGCGGAGGCAAGGAGGCCGATTTCGAACTCCGAAAGGGCGTGGATTGGATCCGTGGAAAGGACTACCTTTCTTAACCGCGAATTGCTTTGAGGATGCAACTTACCTCGCGTAGCTTCTGTGAAATCAGTCGAGAAACGCATAACATGTCGTTAGTCATAGGACAGACATCAAAAACCAAGGGCAACATGATGTTCTGGTGTGGTCATATCGGAACAGCCGAGACTAACGGTGCTCTGACTGACGCAAGCGCCTGATTTGGCTGCAATTCGCACTGACCCAAGTGGCAGTGATCTTTCAAAGTCATAATCAGCAGTTGTAACATTGTGATTGTTATACCGCTACAAGATAAATCTTTCAAGCGCAAATGTTAAATTCATTGTTTCTTTGACAGCTTCGTCGTTCAACATTTTTTAACCTAAAAATTTCAGTCATTAAAAAATTATTATTTTAAATAAAATTCATTCATTTTTAAATTCGGTTATTTATTTTAAATCGTGAGCGGTTTCTACAGCGGGCGTCGACTTGCACTAATGCAGCTACATTTATGACTTGCATTCTTCGACCCGATGTTATTAAGCGCTTCGTGCCATCGAGCCAACTGGCCTTTGTTCCGCTTCTCGATCGGAAGAAATGAGCCTTGTAGTTCTCGAACCCTTAGAATTCCCAAAGGATTTCGCCTACGCCTTTCGCATATCTTAAGTCGGATTTATTCTCTGCAATAATATTGCAAAGTTCAAAGTTGAAGCGATTTAATCGCTAGTTGCTGCCACTTCCA